TATATATATATATATATATATATATGTATGTATGTATGTATAGGTGTTTTACAGAATATCTATAAGCATGATAGTTTTTATACCATATGTTAAAAAGTTTAAGTTGTTGGACAATCAAATAAACAATTACATAAAGATATTTTAGCAGTACAACTAGAAAAACAAGATTTTCTTATTTCTTTTTGGTGTATATGTATCAAAATTCCCTCAACTTACATCCATTCAAAGTACTTCGAGGAAACAACCCAACCTCAACACAAACATGTGTACTTATGATCTAACAACAAAGAATCAAATACTAGCTAGAAAAACCCAAATCCCCCTAATTCAAATAAAACCTCCCATCTCTTGTCCTCTTCCTAACAAAAGTCTTTATCCTTCTCAATGCAACCTCCAATGTCTGCTGGCTCATGTTAGCAAAGCAAACCCTAAACCATCCAGCTTCAGAGCAATGGCATGAAGACCCTGGTGATATATTAAGCCTCACCTCATTCACCATCAAATCCCATACCTTTAGCTCCCCTTCAATTGTTGGCTCATCAAGCAAGGGACCAAGATTCATCCAGCAGAATAACCCTGCATTCCCTTGCAAGCATTCAATCCCTGCACTCTTCAATCCTTCAACTATGAACTTTTGCCTCTTCCTCAATCTATCTCTGTTAGTCTTTATGTATTTCTCAGTGAAAGTATCATCAGATAGCATTGATGCAAGCATTTTCTGTGTTTGAGATGAGATGAGTGTGAAGCTTGACATTCTCCTCGCAGTCGTCACAACTCTATCATTATAAGAGTATACTGTGCCAACTCTGAAACCTGGAAGCCCAAGATCTTTGGAGAGACTGTACACAATGTGGACCCTCTCTGCATTGTCGAAACCCCGGGCTTCTAGGATTTCGGCTACACTGACAAATTCTGACGAGGAGAAGACTGAGCCTGAGTAAATCTCATCGGAGATAAGGTGGATGTTCTTCGCAATTGCAAAGTCGAACGCATCTTCAAGAATTGGCCTCGAGATCGCCTTGCCTAAGGGATTCGAAGGGTTTGTGAGGAGAAGTCCTTTGACTGTGATGTTTGCAAGTTTTGCTTCGCTGTATGCATCTTCGAGGGCTTCGAGAGTGATTTGGAAGTCGTTGGAGCTGTCGCAGTGGACTGGAATTATGTTGACACCTGTTCTCCATCGAAGATCTCTGTCGAACCTGCAAAGAGACGTGCACTCAAATTTAGACTTTATTTTCTCATAAAAAAGATTCAATTTAGTGTGTGTGTATATATGTGCACGCGCGCGCGTGTTATGATGGCCGTGTTCATACCCTGGATAATAGGGAGTAGGAATGAGCAAGGCGTCGCCAGGGTTAGCGAGGATGAAGGTGAGAAGCTCGTTGGCGGCGGTTGCTCCTGCAGTGAGAATGATGCGTTCAGGGTCAATTTTCGCCCTTCCTCCTCTTATTTTCTCCATGAAACTTGCCATTGCCTGAGTAATAAATGAAGGAAAATCATATAATTAAGTAACCGATGCTAGGTAACATGATTATGTTGGTATTCTTCCTGAAGTAATATATCCTACGTACCTTTCTGAAATCTTGGAGCCCATGGTAGTCTTGAAACAAGGCATTCTCTCTGAAGCCGGAGATGCCCGATCCCCAGCTTGCTGCTTCTGGATGCTGAGTTAAGTACTCTTCCAGCAAGTCAAATGAAACCTTTACTTGTGAAAGTAGGCAAATAGTTAGAGAGAGAGGACTGACTAAGTAATTCACGAGCTCTTTTTGTACAGAGATTGAGGAGATTTGATATCTTACTTGGTTTTCTGCCAACCCCATTTGAATTACTCCTGAAGGGTTGTTGATAGGATCATAAGGATTCTCATCATAAGCTTTCCATCCAGCAAAATATGGGGAATCCTCTCCATGAGCTTTGGAGATTGCCATCTTTGATAATGGAGCCGAGTCAGCAAGACCCTTGGCCATGACTTTTGAAAGACAGGAGGAGCAAGAGAAGGCCTAAGTCTCTGGAGGAGGGAGATAGCTAGAGAAAATAATGAATGTTGTTGAATGAAAGAAAGAATGAGAGAGGGGCCAGTATTTATAAGGGGGATATTCACTTTTTGCATGGAAATGATGGAAAATTTCAAAGCAGTACCTAATGATTGGCTATTGTAACTGATGAGCAAAGATCAATCAAATTGCTCCTTTCCTTGTTTTCTTCAATGCGTACAGGAGTTTTAACTCTTTGCTACAGCTGTTGTCCTCTATTGCCACTTCCTTGGAAACTTCTCTCATACACGGAGACTCTTTTATCCAAAAAATCGATGGTTGGCCAGTCTCCACTCCAAAGTTCCTATTATGTCCTAATGCAATTGTAAAGCATAGTTTATTAAGGCTTAACCATCGTTTTCTCAATATGGTTATTGGCTATTGGTTCTAAAGAGAGATTGCTTAGCTTTAAGCCTACAAGAGGGACCAAGACCTTTTCTAGCTAGCTTAAGGGGGGAATAAGTGAAGAATATTTCGGATTTGTGAAGATACTAAGTGGGGTATTGTTCTAAGCACAAGACAAATATACACATAGGATAAATAATAGAAAGGTGAAGTTCTGGATATGATCTGATACGGAACCATATATTGTAATACGCTAGGGGGAAACACCCTACTGAAAAAAAAAATTGTCTGTTCAGGTCTAATCCCCGATTAGGTCATGTTAATCCATGCCTTAAAACCCTGTGCTCTGATACCAAATCAGAAAACTATTTTACTTTTGAAGCTAAAAACTTGTGGATGGTGAGACTAATGATGAATGCTAAGCAACCTTAATTAATGAAAAGTTCTTGATGTGTTGAATAACTTTGCGTGTATTATTCGAAATATACGCAATTAAAACAAGCATATATAGCCACGCTTGGATGTGGGATTGGCTGGACTGTCTATTAAAGCACTGAAACCTCTCGAAACCTTGTTCTCCGGTACCAAATTCGAAAACTGTACAAGTTTTGAGCCAAGAAATAGCAAGATCACTAACGTATTCCAAATATATTTCGGAAAAAGCAATTACAAATTAATAAGTTTTAGCTGTGGGATTAGGTGTGCGTATACAATTTCGTGTGTCTGTACATATTTATTTTATGTACATATGGTTTGTGTCATTATATGTGGTCCTTGCTAGTGCCGGTGCTTTTTGTTTCACCAAACATATCAAGGGAATATATGGCAAAGGACAAAAGGATAAAAATGATGAGATCAATAAGAGATAGTAGAAGATCCTCGTGCGAAATAGGATATGTTTCCCAGAGATTATTGGAATCCATGTGCCAACATAAGCTGTAGTGTAAAAATCATTATCCGGTATCTATAAGATTTCTTCTTTTATTTTTTATTTTTAAAGGTTTTATTTGGGTGCACCATTAGCAACAACAGCTAAAACAGACCCAGGTCTCTGATTTTAATATATGGTCACATGATATTCAACATTACTATTAAAATGTTTTGTGCTGAAAGTATGAATCTCAAATCATTGTCATTACCACAACGAGCTTATGCTCAATTAATATAATTACTGTTAGTGAATTTCTATGTGCTGGTTTCTATGGTAGATTTAGATATCAGTAAAGGTACATATATACATGTATATGATGATATCATACAGGAGCTTTTGTTTGTCCACGGAACTGGTTGAAAACTGTCATTGATATTGACTGAAGTGCGTTTACTAAACAACTTGAAGAGGATTAGACCGAATTCAAAGTTTTCCAGCCTCAATTGGGCAAATGGACAATATGAAAATAAAAAAAAACTACGACCCTTTATGCTAATCAATAAACATAACAGCCACAATATCTGGAATGATGCAAGTCATGGTTGAGTGTTGCCTATATCAGTCCCAAATTGACCTATCTAATTACCCCAAGTTGGTAAATTTAGTCAGAAGAGACCAATTCTCAACCTGAAAACATGTGTGGTTTTCCACCTCCCATGAACGTTCATTTGGCGATAAATAAATTAAATTATGCACAGATTAGGTAAAATATTTGTCAATTATGTAGATTAGCGGCATTAAACTAGTGCTTAGACTTTAATATTCTTTCAGACTTTTGCTCTCAGACATTTTTCTGTTGCATGAGATGCTTCGCGACCTGTGATTAAGAGAAATCGAAACCTAATAATTGTTTCAATGGCCGGAGCTCAAAGTTATAGATTCTTAGATGTTCAAAGTCTCTGATCAAGTCTGACATCTGTCTGAGAGACACAACAGGAGATTTTGGAGAATCATATCAGATATGATGCAGGTGTGGATGACCACTACTATAGCCCGCTCTGTTTGCTTCCTTAGATTTACGTCACAAAAGTTTTTCTTTTTTAATACAGAGTCAATAAGTATAAGGCAATTTGTTTCGGATTCCTTTATTAAATTGAGATATTGTGATTCGTTTGGTGCATAAGGTGTTATGTCATTCATGGGCTGAAATCTTTCCAAGTCTTCACCATGCCTGGATTAAGCCTAACGATATTTTAGTTTGCTCACTTCCACTGTTCTATTATTCATTCATAAAACATGATGAAATGACACCAATTTTTTACTCCAATGTTGAAACCTAACTTCACTGATGAGGTAGAAAAATCTTAGAAAATTTACTATGATTCAGTGATTTTTACAAGATACTACCATCTCTTAGAAATGTTTATGATATCATTATGATGCTAAATTTTTAATGTTGTTATCTATGCATATTGCTGTTAAAAGTTAAAACAAATATTATAAAACTGAAAATAAAAGAGTTAGAACACCAGGCCTGAACGGGTGCAGTCGTGATTCACTACCCTAGAAGATAGAGGACCCGCCTTTCGCTCTAGCGCAGTCGATCCTCTCCCCCTAGAAGATAGAGGATTAGAGGATTCTTCTTCTTGTTGTATCTTCTCCGACTGAGCTTCAGCTCTTTATATAGCCTCTCGAACTGATAACCGATGCTGATAGTCCGCACACGTTACATGTATATCCTGCATCCATTATACGTTTCCATAACTCCCGCGACCGTTACAAGCTGGTGTAAAACGTACAAAAAATAATACTTGAGAGGCAAAAAACTCGTGCGAGTGCGGCGTGGCGTGCGCGCGTGTGGAGCAACAGCCCAAACAACACTAGGCCCAAAACACTAACTCAAAGCCCATTGAGATGTGAACCATTATAAACTTCTTGAACTTCTTCTCATTTTTCGATGTGGCACTATTCACAAAAGCAAAATTACCTTTTCATGAACCAAAAGTCCAACAGTCTCCCCAAAAGGAAATATTGACTGAAACAAAACAATAAGTAAATCAGTAAATCATAAAAGATATAGGTTGGGTAACCTTTCGTATCGTGAATTCAAGAGAGGTAGCTTCCGGCTTTGAGCCTTTCCTTAGTGAGTTTATCGCCACCTGAGGGACATAATGGACTAGGCCTTAAATTAGGCCCCTTGAATCAGGTATTGACAAAATACACACACAATACGTCTTCATCTATTGAGCAAAGCGGGTTGAGCGTTAAAGGCCATGCCCATAAAAAACCGACTCATGAGAGTTTCTAGGATTAGCCCACCCCCACCCCCCTAACCACAGCCATCACGGTTCCTCTCACGTAGGTAAGTCCTCAAAGGGTACTACAGTTATTTATTTAATATCCCCCATAATACACACGTTAGACTTATTAATAGTAAAACTCAGCCTAGCCAGCTGTATAATATGAGCATTGTCATCATAAAGAAAGGGTAGTAGCACAAGCTACACAATGATATATGAATATATCTGGGTCGATGCTCCACACGAGTGTCACTAGTTCAGCTTGTTTCTACCACATTGAACCAACATTGGGACTAAGTCTCCAAATAAGGGTTGGGTTACCACTGTCAGTGACCTCTCTTATGGGCTTAACCTGATACAAGTTGTCGTGCGAGCACCCTTTGGTCGCGGAATTACCAAAAGGTGGGTTGAGAAGAGGACGACCAAAACACAAGAACAATTCAGTTTGGCGAAGGAAAATACCTTCTCTAGATTATGAAGAACAAAAGATTACAATCTCTCTCTCTCACAATCTCACTCTAGAATTGAAGAACAAGCTCTCAAAATCTCAATCTAGATTCTAATCTCTCTTGATTAAACTCTCTGATCTAAAAGATGATGTTTAGAAACCCTAAAACAATCCCTTATATAGGTGTACAAACGTGGATGGCAATCTGGTAAATAACCAAACCCAAAACTAATATGAATTCGTGTGAACAGAATCCCAAACGAACCAGGAAATCATCGATGAGTCGACTCATGACTGAGATGAGTCGACTCGTCAGAAACTGGACAAAACTCAAAAACCAGTGATGAGTCGACTCATGACAGTCATGAGTCGACTCAACCTGATGAGTCGACTTAACCTGATGAGTCGACTCATGACTGTTATGAGTCGACTCATAGGCTGAAAACTAGATACTTCGATTCTTCTGCTCGTCGTCTCGTTCCACGCTTCCTCCTGTGTTCCCTTGTACTGTTTGACACCTCTATTCTCATGCTATCATGAGAATCATCTATTCTCAAGCTCCCATGAGGATCGCTAAGTTCTAAAGAGAAGATACACCCGTATCATGGGTCCCCTCTTTAAGAACTTGAAGTCTCATTCAAGTTAGAACCTTAGCTGAGGAAACTCTCGAACTCCTCCATCTTTTCTGCACCACCTGGCCTTGCTAGGAATCCGGTCTCGACGTCCGATCGAAAACAAGTCATTTGTCCCGCGTCTCGTCATAGTCACCGTTCGCTCTAAGTTGCAATCCTTTGTTGATGGCTTTTCTGGAAGTCTAATGCACAGCGAGACAAACTTCTTGCTTGCATTCACTAGTCTCTTTGCTCGCGTCACTGTTCCCAAGCTTATTTCCTTCGGAAGAGATGCCGAACGAAATATGAACTTTACACCATCCTTAGTGAAGGTGTACTTCTGAGCCCGCCTCTCATAGATCGCATATCTATCTCATAAGTACGGATTGCCCAGTATAATCTGACAAACATCCAATGGAACGA